AGACCCAACAGTTCCATTTGTCTTTAACTCTTCTTTTTCTTCTCCTTCAGTTAGAAACCTAGGAATTAATAACCAAGTAAGTCCTGCCATGCTTCAGTCATGTATACTCTAGCTCTTTCTTGGTACCACCTGTGTAATGGGCACTGGAGCTACAAAGATAAACAAAACACACCATGACCCCGAGGAGCTCAGTCAAGTGTCCCTTCCTTGATTTTTTTATAGCTATGATCGATGTTTTAGATCTTCATCATTCTGTAATCGCCTTTCTACAATCTGCCCCTGACTGCCCTTCCTTCACTGCATTCCTTTCCTCCCAAGACTCCAATTTAAAAAACATTTTGCTGAGCAATATGGTCTCTAAAACAATAAATTCGTCATGTGATTCCCAGGCTGGAAATCTTTCTGTTGAGTTCTGGGTCTCTACAGAAAACCTGTGGGCTTGACTCTGATCATCGGAGACCTGTGCATCTTCAGGAGCAGCTCTCCTGACCTTCAGGGATCCCCTGGATCCCAAGCACCCTCTAGAATAATTTCTCTGCTTTAGTAAAACTGGGCCTGAAACGTATTCGTGTTCATTCCTGGCCCCGCCACTTCTGCATTAGTCTCTCTCTTCCTTTCTACACATCCTCAGAGTGACAGCACAAGTCCCGCCCCTTTCCAAAAATGTTCCAAGAAATTATATCTCATGGTGATCATGCATTGATATAGTCCAGTGTTTGTATAAATCACTCCTTTTTGCACTAAATCATACATATTCGTAGTTTTATTTATTTATTTGTTTAGTCTCTCCAAACTAACTACAATTTCTTTACGGTCTGTAAAAAAAAGCATGCAGTTTTCTTATTTACTTTCATGCATCCATTCATTTAATATGTATTCACTGGGGTCTTACATCGTACCATGCGCTGGACCAGGCTGAAGGGGTCTCCTGTGCTTTGACATGGTAAGCCCGAAACAAATTTTTTTTTTTTTTGGTACGTGCCCCTAGCAGGAACCGAACCTGGGACACTCTGGTCCGCAGGCTGATGTTCCAACCACTGAGCAAAACCGGCCACTGAGCCAAACTGGCCAGGGCTGAACAAATATTTTTTGATAAATAAACGTGATCCCTTCTGCTAGTAAGTGGCATATTTAAGAAAAATAATTTGTAAAAGTTCTCTTATTTTTACATCATGTAGTCACAGAAATCCCATAATTTTCAAATAGCCCCTAGGTATCACCTATTGAGAGTTTCAGCAATCGGGCTGCAGATGGATTTAGAAAATATTCACTTGCTTCTACTATTTAGAATTTAATGTAACTTTTGTACTTCCTACTAAAAGACTATTCCCCCCTTTTTAAGGCTCACATTTCACTTTTCTCCAATTTGGTATAAAATGCCGAACATAAATAAAATCGAAAACAATTTAGCTACTTCGCATCTATAATAATCCCAGAGTTATAAATAAGCCCGAAACTCCCCGGATTTGGCCAGCTGTATTAGTAACAATTTAGAAAAGTGGGCGGTTTATTATGATTTACTTGCACAGACTTCTGTTGAGGGTTTATATAATTTAGTTTACTAATATGCCCATAAAAAGAACATTACAATAAAATAAATATTCAAGTGAATAAATAAATATCACTGTGACTGTTCTCTTGAATAACAATAAGCAATAAGCATTATAGTCCCAGATGTTTACTTTAATAGAGCCTGAAGAGATAGCTAGGCCATTGGGTGATCATCACGGCTCCTGATGCACTTTTTATACCAAGATGATACTAAACAGAAAATGGCCATTCTGTCTGCAGGCCATCCATCATCTGTACAGCTCCTATCCATCACAATCTGTAGCAGTGACACTAATGCAGTTTTGGAGTTAAAGAGACTCCTGATTTTTATTTTAAAGAAAAAAATAAATAAAAGGAAAGAAAGAAAAAGCCTTTGAAGAGAATTCTGTTTTTAATTTTGTTTTTTTTGCATTTATTTTCAGATAGAGCTGGAGGGAGAGGGAGAGAGAGAAACATCGACATGAGAGAGACACATCGAGTGGCCGCCACTCACACAACCCAACCAGGGCCAGGGACAAACTGCAACCGAGGCACATGCCCCCAGCGGGAGCTGAACCCCGGGACTCTCCGGTCCGCAGGACAACACTCCAACCGCTGAGCCAAACCAGCCAGGGCGAGAATTCTGCTTTTAATTGAGCCAGACATTACGTGTGAAAACCTCAGAGAAAAAGCAGCTGCCGATGGTGGGCTCACCTCCCTCGGTTTCCCCTTCTTCTGGATCTTCTGTAAATTTTCCCCGCCTAGCCCAGCTGGTGTGGCTCAGTGGTTGAGCGTCGAACCATGCACCAGGAGGTCACTGGTTCGATTCCCAGTCAGGGTACATGCCCAGGTTGTGGGTCTGATCCCCAGTGCGGGGCGTGCAGGAGGCGGCAGGTTGATGTTCTTTCTCATCAATGTTTCTATTTCTCTCTCCCTCTCCCTTCCTCTCTCTCTCTAATAGCAATAAAGAATAAACAAACAAACAAACAAACAAATAAATTCTCCCTGCCTTGGTAGTAGCTCAGCAATGCAGATGTTGAGTATACTTGTTTCGTTTGTCATTTCACAGAGGCTTGTTCTGAATTCACTTTAGCTCCACACTTTGATTACTGGAGTCACTCCTAATCTAGCCTTTCTAACTAATGACCTTGGATTGATTCTCAATAGCTCAACACTCAATATCTTCGTCTTCCTTTTTTGGTCTATTCTGTGCATGTAGAAAGTCTCTCAGAACCAGATTCTTTTGCCACTCTTTGACCCCGTGACCTTTTAGGTTACAGTTGTCTGTGCAACTTCCTATCTGGTCTCCTTGTCACTAAGATCTCTCAAATCTAGTCTTGAGTAAGACTATGCCTTGGTCTGTTTGACCTGCTGTAACAGAACAGAAGCCTGGATGGCTTATAAACAACAGAAATTTAAATATTAATTCATTGATTTAAGGGAGGGGGGGAGAGGGAGGAAGGGAGGGAGACAGAGAGAAGCATCATTATGTTTCCACTTATTGATGTATTCATTGGTTGCTTCTTGTATGTGCCTGAACTGGGGACCGAACTCACAACCTCGGCATATCAGCATGATGCTCTAACCAACTGAGCTACCTGGCCAGGGCAACAGCAGAAATTTATTTTTACATTTCAGGAGACTGGAGCTGGTGTATCTGGTATCTGGTGAGAACCCGCTTCCTGGTTCCCAGACGTTGGTCTTCTTGCTGTGTCCTCGCATGGTGGACATCTCAGAGAGCAGGGGGGGGTCTCTTTTATAAAATCATTCATCCCATTCTTGAGGGTGCTCCCAATGGCACCACCTCCAAATACCATCAGATTAGGGATTAGGTTTTCAACTTGTGACTTTTGAGAGGACACATGCAAAATAGAGGGTGGGGCAAAAGTAGGTTTACAGTTGTGAGTCCACAAAATACGTGTTTCTTCTTATATTGTTATTTATTAATTATTTTATTATTATTTTCCATATGAACCACTGTAAACGTACTTCTGCCCCACCCTGTATAACATCCTGGAAATGAAAGAGCTAAATAGGAACCCCCTTGGCCATCCCTCATCCTGAAGTGGCAGGAAAGATGCTTAGTGGTATGCTATAGGAAGTCACAGCATCCACATGTCTACCCATTGGAGGGGAGATATTCATTTTTAGCTTTGACCCAATCAGGAAGTTACTTTTTCACCCAATGGAAGCTGACCAGAACCCTTTTCAAAATGGCAGTAGAGTCAAAGGCTGCTGGTCCAATGACTCGAGTGTATAGTGACTGAAGGTGGGACAGGCAGTCACAGCACCGTATAAACAAGAAGAGCTGCCTTGCCCAGTCGGTGTGGCTCACTGGTTGAGTGTCAATCCATGCACCAAAAGGTTGCCAATTGGATTCCTTGTCAGGGCACATGCCCAGGGTGTGGGCCAGATCCTCAGTGGGGGGCATGCAGGAGGCAGCCAATCAATGTTCTCTCTCATCGATGTTTCTATCTCTCTCTCCCTCTCCCTTCCTCTCTAAAATCAATAAAGAAAAAAAAAAAAAGAGCTACCTTCCCACCGTTAAGAAAGCTAAGCTGCAGATACTTCTTGGAGAATGTTAGGGGAAAGCAAAGTGTCCTTAATATGATTTTCAAAAGACATGATGCTTAAAGTAAACTGTGAAAATATAAACCAGTAAAAATAAAAACATATTTCTGGATTGTAATATAATTAAAAAAAGAAAAAAGAAAAAAAAACCAACTTAGCACAAGACAGAACCTGTGTTGCTGCAGAATGTGGGAAAGCAGAGCAGAGCAACGCAGAGCAGGCACGGGACTACGGCCTAGCTGCAGGTGCTGGGGGGAATGGGTGCCCGATAAACAGAATGCGCACTCCACAGCATATCATTTGAACGTAATTTATTCCTGTCTGGGTGGGCTCCAAGTTAGCCAGGCACAGGACCACTCTATAATCGTCTTGTCAAACTGGTCTTGTCAGGTTGAGGACTCCTCCTCACGTTATTAGAGCAACTGATACTCCTGATGTTGCTGGTATTAAAAAGGTAATAAGCATGACTGGAAGAGGCTGTGCAGAAAAGAACACTGTTTCTGTTCAAAAGAGGTGAGATGATGGATGATTTTTTCCCCTTCTATGTTTTCCAACCATTCCTAATGCTTATTACATTTTATTTACAAAGTAAATAAATAAACATCAAATGCAAATGGTACAAAGAAGAAGCAATATGCTCTAAAATGTAATAAAAAGCATAACAAACATTTTCTTTTTAAACTTGGGGATTTTATCATTAATCCCAACAACAACGGGACAAACGTCCACATGATGGCGGGGATGGGGTGCCACGTGCCATGAGGGGGTCTTAGAATAAAATCATCCTGAGTGGCACTTGGCTCCTTCTAGTTTTCTTTCTAACAGCATGTTGCTTATTTTCCCTATAAAGCAAATGTACATTTTTTTTATCTCATATGATTTATGAAGAAAACTTTTACCTAAAATTCTTATATTCTTGTACTTGTCGTTTCCACGGGCAGCTCTGTATATTTCTGACAATCTGAAGATAGTCATCCTCTGAATACCTAAGAGTCAAATGTGAATGAAGTTAGAAAATAAAGCTCTCACATACTGCTAAGCACATTTACACACGTTCTAAAGGACACTTTAAAAATACACTCATTTTAATCCTCTAAGTCTTTTCTAATATAAAGGTGAAATAAGAAAATACGTACCCATTTCAAAACTTCCAGGAACATGAAATTCACAGAGAATGACTATGCTGATTTAGGAATGTGTAATCTGCACCTAGCGTAAGTCATGTCTAGTATTTCAAGCAATGACAGCACACCAACCCTCATTCATATGTATGGCCATTTCATCTTAGCTTCAACTCATTGACAAATAAATATATTTGTTATAGGTGTTTACCATAAATATATGGTTTATCATTTTTTCAGAGTCTAAGTTGATACATTTACCTTGTAATATATAGATAAAATTTCTCCAAAAGAATCATCTTAAATTTTAATTCTGAACAGTACATTAAAAAAGCAGATTGGGCTCAATTAAGAGAGAGAGAGATTGACATTAAAATCTATAGGCACAGTGGTACAGTTTGGCAGGATCCCAATCCCCAGTAGATTTCCGTCTACCTGAAATTTTTTCAATAAGTATTAAGACCTTTAATCACAGAATAGCTTTTAGTCATTAGTCTTTAAGGGTTATCATTTAAAATGCAGATATCCTTTTGGGTAAAAAAAAAATCCTTAAATTTTCTTTCAATTAATATCTTAGTCATTAATTGTCAGCTATTTGAGAGCAAGGGTCTGTGATAAGAAGATAAAGTATATGTTGGTGAGCGGGTGGGAAAGGAACAGGAGAGTAAAGAATCTGTCAGGAAAGTCGCTCCCCTCAAGCCCTTACAGCAAAATGCAGATCCTCCAAAGTTATCTGAGAAAGGAGGTATTTGTTATAGGCAGAGATGGTAGTCAACCAAGCAACTCCTTTGCCCCTGAAATTTACCTACCTTTTGGATTTCTCTGTCTCTTTTCATAATGCTGCCAAGGTTAATCAAAATTATTCTCCCTTGATTCCCATTGGCCCTGCTAAGAATAACTTAAAAAAAATCTTGAAAAAAATTAGCTAAATATGAAAGAAGAAGCAAAGCAAAGAACTACCAAAAGAAAAGATTAAAAATAGTTTTTCTTGTGCCCTGGCTGGGTTGCTCAGTTAGGTGGAATGTCTACTTGTACACCAAAAGTTGTGGGTTCTACTTCCGGTCAGGGCTAGTATGGAAGGCAACTGATTGATGTTTCTCTCTCTCTCTCTCTCTCTGTCCTTCTTTCCCCTTTCCTCTCTCTCTAAAAATCAATTTTAAAAACATATCCTTGGGTGAGGATTTAAAAAAACAGTTTTTGCCCTGGCCAGTTTGGCTCAGCGGTTAGAGCGTTGGCCGACAGACCAGAGAGGCCTGAGTTCGGTTCCCACTAGGGGCATGTGCCTTGGTTGCAGTTTGTCCCCGGCCCTGGTTGGGGTCATGTCGGAGGCAGCCAGTCGATGTGTCTCTCTCACATCGATGTTTCTCTCTCTCTCTCTCTTCCTCCCTCTCTCCCTCCACTCTATCTGAAGATAAATGCAAAAATGTCCTCGGGTGAGGATAAAAAATAATAATAAAAATAATAATTTTACTTACACACAAGCTTCCAACCTTAACAGATTTAGTTCATGCCCATAAGCTCTAACACTGCTACTAGTACACCAAGCATCTTGAAATATATAAGCACTAGCCCTAAACCTTTGTCTAAGTGTGACACTTCCCAACTGGAGCAAAGACTGCTAGTCTCTACATTGTGGTAGACACCCAGAAATCTTCTGCAATACAGGCTGAATGAAATGTTTACAGAGAATCATTCAATTGTGAGAAAACCTCAAGTAGCCTAATATTTGTGAAATGATGGTCCTAGCAAGAAAGAAGGGACAAAAAAAGTTTTCTGAAATAATTTTGGTGGAAATTTTTCCAAATCGAATGAAAACTATAAACCCAAAAATTCAAAAAGCTCAACAAACTAAAGCACATAAATACAGATTGAAAAATACACCAAGGCACCTAATAAAATTTCTTTAAACCAGTGATCAAGAGAAAAATCTTAAAAGTAGTTAGAGAAAAAAGACACATTATATACATAGAAACAAAGATAAGAATTACAGCAGACTTCTTATGAAAAACAATACAAGTCAGAAGGCAGTGAAACAATGTCATTAAAATATAGAACAGCATTTAGGGAAACTGTCAACCAAGAATTCTATACTCAGTAAACCTTACAAAGAATGAAGATAAAATATTGATTTTTTCAGCTATATTAAGCCTAGAAGAATTCATACCAGCAAACCTGCAGTACAAGGAATGCTAAAGGAAGTCCTTCAGGCAGAAGAAAAAGGAAACCAGATTGAAAACTGGATTGACACAAAGTAATGAAGAGAACTGTGAATATGTAAATATATACAGAAGATTTTTTCTTATTTTTCCAGATAATTGACTGTTTAAAGTAAATATAACAATAATATATTGGGGAGTTTATAACATATTTAGAAATAAATGCATGGCAACTATAGAATAAAGGCCAGAAAAGAGGTGGGGGTGACAGGTAGGAGGTAGAAGTGGTATAAGTCACTTGAAAGTGGGTGCTGATAAGAACACAGTAAAAAGTGTGTTAAAATGTAATTATAAGATTATTCAGTCCAAAAGTAAGCAGAGAAAGAGGGAAAGGAAACAAAGAGCAGTCTGATAGAACACAAAGATGGTAGATTTAAACCCAACCATATGAATAATCACATTAAATATAAATAATCTAAACACGCCACTTAAAGACAGAGAATGCCAGATTGGCTATTTTAAAAACAGGAACCGATCATATATCATACACAAGAAATCCATTTCATATAAATAAATGTTAAAAATAAAATGATAGGAAAAGATGTACTACAGTAGAGCTAATTAAAACAAAGCCAGAGTGGCTATATTCATATCTAAGTAAATCTCTGAACAAGGAATACTGACATGAAAAAATAGGATAAGAACATATTGATAAAATAAAATTGAAAGCTGAATCATTAAAAATCAATAAAATTGATAAATGTTTTGCCACACGGATCAGGTAAGAGAGAGAATACACAAATAAGCAAGATGTGACCAGTGAGAGAGGCTGCAGCACCAAGAGTTCTACAGACATTGAAATTATAATAACTTTATGCCAAAGAAGACAACTTGAAAGACAAAGTCTACCAGAGCTCACTCAAGAACTTGATAACCTGAATAGTTCTACAGCTATTAATAAAATTGAATTTGTAATTAAAATCCATCCTAAAAAAAAAGCAATGCCCAGATAGCTTCAATAGAGATTTTTATCAAATATTTGAGAAATAGTAATATGAATGCTACACAAACCATCTTATAAAATTGAAGCAAGGGAATACTTCTTAAATTTTTTTTTAATATGTGAAAAATATTTCCCTGATACCAAAACAGAAAAAGACATTAAAAATAAAGAAAAAAAATATAGATAAATATCCTTCATAAACATAGATGTAAAAATCCTCCAATATTAGCAAATTAAATTCAATAATATATAAAAAGGATAAAGAATTCTAAGTGTGTTATATCTCAGGAATCAAAGGTTTATTTATTTGAAAATTAATTGATGCAATCTCCATAATAGAATTTTTAAAAATAATAATCTCAATACAAGAAAGGAAAAAAGCATTTAGCCTAATTCAACATTCAGCCATGATAAATACTCTCAACAAACTCAGTATAGAAGTGAATTTATACAAGTTGATAAAGAACATCTACAAAAAAAAAAATTATCAGCTAGGATCATAGATGATTGTGAAGGACTGAATACTTTCCCCCTGAGATCAGGATCAAAGTAAGGATGTCTTCTTACCATCTCTATAACTGGAGGTCTAATCAGTACAATAAGGCAAGAAAAATAAATAACACTATCCTGCCCTGTCAGTATGGATCAGTAGATTGAAAGTCAACCTATATATCAAGAGGTCACGAATTTGATTCTTAGTCAGGGCACATGCCTGGGTTGCAGGCTTGATCCCCAATGGGGGGTGTGCAAAAGGCAGCTGATTGGTGTTTGTCATTGATGCTTCTCTCTCTCCCTTTCCCTTCCTCTCTCTCTAAAAAATTAATAAAAGCATATTAAAAAAAGAAAGGAAACAACGCTATCTAGATTAAAAAGGAAGAACTAAACTATTTTTATTCAGAGAGAAGATGATGATCTGAGAAATCTACAAAATAAAGCTAGTAGAACTAATAATTTACCAAATTTTTAGGATACAAGATCAATGTACTGAAGCAACTACATTTCAATACATTAGCAAGAAACAACCTGAATTAAAATTTTAGATCTTAGCTATTGTAAATAGTGCTGTTATGAACAAAGGGATACATATGTTCTTTCTGACTGGTGTTTCAGGCTTCTTAGGATATATTCCTAGAAGTGAAATCACTGGGTCAAATGGCAATTCAATTTTTAATATTTTGAGGTAACACCATAGTGTTTTCCACAGTGGCTGCACCAGTCTGTATTCCCACCAGCAGGGTACTAGAGTCCCCTTTTCTCCACACCCTCACCAACACTTGTTTGATGATTTGTTGATGGCGGCCATTCTGACAGGTGTGAGGTGATACCTCCTAGTTGTTTTAATTTGCATGTCTCTGATGATTAGTGATGTTGAGCATTTCTTCATATGTCTCTTAGCCATTTGTATGTCCTTTTTGGAGAGGTATCTATTTAGGTCCTCAGCCCATTTTTTAATTGGGTTCTTTGTCTTCCTTTTGTTGAGTTGTATGAGCATTCTATATTTTGGAAATTAACCCCTTATCTGATGCATCATTGGCAATTATGGTCAACCCAAGTGTCCATCAGTAGATGAGTGGATAAAAAAGCTGTGGTACATGTACACAATGGAATACTATGCAGCTGGAAAAAGAAAGATCTCTTATCCTTTGAGATGGCATGGAAGGACCTGGAGAGTATTATGCTAAGCGAAACAAGCCAAGCAGAGAAAG